TTAGTGAGCGTTGTCGGGTTTTTGGGCTCCTGTGGAGGAACTCACTGCGAGCAAACATGTTTGGAGGTGTTGGTAATGAGCGAGGGAGGAGATACGGAGAGATGTGAGTCCTGAGGGAAGATTCCTTACAGAAGAACACCGCTTGATGAGTTGCAAACTCAGGTCATGTAGACATGATGAAGTCTAGATTACAGACAAACATAAAATTTGATTCCACTGGTGGAGAAGACGTTTTGCTTTGAACGCAATTGAAAGGCTATAAAAAATGTATTGTTTTTTTTTTTATTATTTTAAAGCTGCAGTCCATACTTTATTAGTTCGAAAATTACATGAAATCGAGTTCAAAACAACCCATTGTTTAAAACTAGCTTCTTAGCACAGTTCACAACACTAAGGCTGAGTTCAAGTTCAGTTTGAATTCACTACACCCGGTTTCCCAACTTTGTTCCTGAAGGCACAACAACAATACACATTTTCAACCTCTTCCTAATCAAGCACACCTGAATCAACTCATCTGAACAATAAAAGAGACTCCAAAGCCTGTAGTTAATGAGGCAGATAAGGGAGGCATCCAAAATATGTACTCTTGCTTTGCCTACAGGAACAGGGTTTGAAAACACTACACTAAACAACACTACACTCAACTCAACTCATTTTATTTCTATAGCACTTTCACAAATCACAATGATTACCAAAGTGCTGTACATAAAACACATAAAACGCATGCAAATATACATAAAACCAAAACACATAAACTCACATCACATGATTAAAAGCTAAAGAAAATAAGTGTGTTTTCAGTGACCTCTGAAAAGGCTCAAAAGTTTGAGCTGTTCTTACAGAGAGTGGAAGATCGTTCCAGAGTCTTGGAGCTGCTACCGAGAAAGCTCTATCACCTCGACATTTTAAGCGTGATCTAGGAATTTGCAAATAGAGACGATCCATAGAGTGAAGAGATCTAACAGGTTGGTGCATAATAATTAGCTCAGAAATATACTCAGGGGCCAGGCCATGGATGGATTTAAAAACATACAACAGAACTTTGTACTGAATTCTAAACTGGATTGGCAGCCAGTGTAGAGAAACTAGTACAGGTGTAATGTGTTCTCGTTTTTTTGTGTCTGTTAAAAGCCTGGCAGCTGCGTTCTGTGCTAGCTGCAGTCGCGATAGAGAGGTTTGACTCACACCCAGATACAATGCATTGTAATAGTCCAGACGAGAAGAGATAAAAGCATGAACAACCTTCTCCAAATCACGAAAAGAGAGGACTGACTTGAGCTTGGCAATATATCTAAAATCGAAAAACTATTTTTGACAACCGCATTAATTTGCAGATCAAATTTTAGCTCAGAGTCAAAGATGACACCAAGACTCTTTACAGAGGAATGTATTTTCCCAGGAAACAATGACAGATTTCCATTAGAATTGGAACTTTTTTGGCCAAAAACAATGAATTCGCACTTGTCTTTATTCAGTTAGAGAAAGTTATTTGCCAACCAACACTTCACATCAGCCAAACAATTAAGCAAAGCTTGAAGGGAGGATTGATCCCTATATTTTATAGGGTAGTAGTAGATTTGAGGGTCATCAGCATATAGATGGTAATTTATGCCATGCTTTTCAAAAAAATTTCTAAACGGAAGTAAAGGGAGAACAAAACAGGACCCAGTATTGAGCCTTGCGGAACCCCACACATTAATGGCATGACAGATGAAGAGGAGTTGCCTAAGCTGACTGATATAGCTCTATCCTTCAGATATGAGAAAAAACAATCTAAGGCCAGACCAGCATGTTCTCTAAGCCAATCAGTGAGAATGTCATGATCCACTGTATCAAAAGCAGCAGTGAGATCCAACAGTACAAGAACAACAGGGCTACCTGAATCAACCTCAAATCGTTTGAAAACCAGACTGAAACTTAGCAAAAATAATATTATTAGCCAGAAACTCATTTAGTTGTACAGACACAATCTTCTCTAAAATCTTTGAGATAAAAGCGAAAATTCTTCATGTCTGATGCATCAGGATTGGCTTTCTTTAGCAGGGGCTGAATAACCGCATGTTGAAAACTACTAGCAACGATACCTGTAGAGCGACTACTATTTACAATTGAAAGCACACTTGGACCAATTGAGTGCATCGCCTCCTTAAATAAGGTGGCAGGAATGACATCACAGGACGAACCAGAAGGCTTCATATGTGCAATAATGTCATTAAAGGCTGACTTATACTTCTGCGTCAAACGCCGGCGTATGCTACGGCGCTGACGCATAGCCCTTCGCCGTGGCCGTCGGCGTCGCTCACGTGCACCTTTCAAAAAATGCAACTACACGGCGCATAGCGCAAGCTCTGTGATTGGTCGGCTTGGTAGCGCTGATGAGTCTGGGCGGGACCAAGAGCCGCGTGAATGGTGCGAGCCTGATGGAGCGATTGTTTACAAGTGTGGAGTCCCGTGAAGGAGTTTCGGATGGAAAGTTTTGTTTTGTGTTTACCTCAGAGTTAAAGTTGTTGCACGTCCGCTGGTTCCTGCCTCAAAATGAGTGAGTTTGAGCCACTTGTACATCCCGGAAGTGTTCAGGAAAAGCAAAACAGCTGCAAAGAAACTCGACACAGAGGAACACTTACACCTCACTGCCAACTAGCGTTTCGGAAGTGTAATGCAGACCAACAGAGACAGCGCACAGAAGTATAAATTCACTGCCACGCGCGTTGCATGCGCCGTGGGTTACGCCTGTCCATTGACACAAAAGTATAAACCAGGCTTAAGTTGTAACAGAGACATAGGAATAAAGCTGGTTAGATTTTTTAAGGTGGCAACAGAAATTGTAGAAACACTGATTACAGGTGAAATCTGTGAACGAATTCCAACAATCTTATCAGCAAAAAAAATGCAGAAATTCTTTTTTACAGGTGTCAACAGATGAAGAAATTGATGGAGAAACAACAGTCTGAAGTTTGGTGTTAATAGTAGAGAACAGTACTTTTGAATTATGACAGTTCTTTGAAATTATGTCAGATAAATTATTTGATCTAACTGCTTTGACTGCCCTTTGAAATGTTGTCAAGCAATCTCTCAATGATTCATATGAAACTTGTAGTTTGTCTTTAAGCCATTTGCGCTCAGCTCTTCTACACTCCTGCCTGGGCCCTAAAATTGCTGTTCACCCAAGGCTGAGGCTTACTTTCTTTTTCTTAATTTTCAATGGAGCTACAGAATTTAGAATATTAGAGCATATGGAGTTAAACTGGATAACTAACTCCTCAGGTCCCATATCAGAAGACGGAAACTCCATAAGTGATCTTGATGAACCCATATCAAAAGCAGATGAAAAATGACTAGCAGTGGAGGTGGAGAGCACACATGTCTCAAAAGCAACAGAACTATCATCAGCTTGACAATTAAAAGTAAAAAAAAAAGAATTTAATAGAACAGCCTTGTGGTCAGAGAAAACATTGTCCGCAATTTGCAAATTACAGACAGAGTAACCAGAAGTTAAAGAGCACCAAGTCAAGAGTATGACCATGCTCATGTGTTGGGCCCATGTACACGACCGCAAAGTACGTTCTATGTAATATATGTGTGTAGTATGAATGAATGTGGATGCATTACATCCACCATTTGTCTTGATGACATGACCTACCCGCATCTGTTGCACCACCTCACTCCCATGTGTGAATTCTCTCTTGTGTGCATTATGGGATAGCGAAACTCGCCGGAAATCATCTTCTAGGGTACTTCTCGCCTATAGACTTTGCTGCAATGTTATATACTGGAAAAAAATGGCCAGTAATCTACCACATACATAGTTTTTAGTTCACAACATTAATATGAACTGCATGGTGGGTAATTAAAAAATGTGTACAGTAACCTACTGCATATTAGGAATTTACAGTATTCTACCGTAACAAAAGTAAAGTTCTGCAACTGTAGTTGAAGACAAAAATAGGACAGTTAATGAAAATAAATATCAGTTAACATCCCATTTCATATCATTTGAAGTTGTATGCATCACTGTCACATTTTTACAAATGTTTTTTGTCTCCCAAATTTATATCATAAAGAGAATGATAAAATACCATTAATAACCGTTTAACCGTTTAACAATTAAAGGTGATCTTGTTTTCATTTTTTTGTTTCTGTTCCTGCAAAATGTCATTCAATTCTGTTTTTGTTTCCATTCCTTGAACCAGTTCAGAGCTCTAATTAGAATATGATGTTTTACAAAATACAAAAAAATATATTTTGGTTGGAAATGCATTCACTGCAAAAAAACATATGCCAAAGTAATTGGCAGTTCATTCCGCTGCGACGACCCCTGATAAATCAAGGACTATGTAAAGTGAGTGACAAAAAAATACAGCAAGCACATAGGACTATACAATCTGACTTTATAATAAATACACTTTCATTCCAATTAAACCTTCCATATTCATAACTCCGTGTGGTAACAGTAGTTTAGGTCACAAATCATGCTATTCACTACTGGCTTATTACCTGTCTATTATTAAGATATGAACTGTTCATTAGTAGTTATCAAGTATGATCTAATTCTACATCCCTAATCCTACCCAAAACCTAAACCCAACTACTACCAAACTAACTATTAATAAACAGTTAGTAAGTAGTTTATTAACCTAGTAATGTTAATTTATGGTTTATTAGCATGATTGTGCTGATTGTGACCCTAAACTAAAGTCTTGCCCTACTTTGTTTTGGTTTTCTTTACTTTGAACAATCTGCAGTCACTTTCCCTTTCATATGCTTTATATGTGTATATATGAATTTCATTTAATCCAGACACTGAACTGGGACATCTCGTCACTCCGTCTTATGAAGATGAAAACTGCATGCATATTCCTCTCACACCTGTGGTTTAACTTTGACTTGAATCTTTCTCTCTTTTTTTCTCATTCTGCATTGTTTCAGAATGAGCCACAGCGCCTCGAACAAACGCAGAGTGTCTTTGATCTCTCTCTGTCTTTGGCTTTTCCCTCTCTCAGGTTTACATTCCCTGCAGAACCGCTATTGTTCTGGCCAACGAGGAAATCGATTACTGCTACTGAAACACAATCAGCACGATGGAAAGCCAGCACACTTCTGTGACTCGACCTACCTCCATTCACAGCCAACATCCGTCACAAACCACACGCTCGCCAGCTAACTTCTTCTGAATATCTGCCAATGCCGTTTCCATTCTCTCACTGTTCACGTTATAGGTAAAGTTCAGACAAAAATCAACATTTGCTGGTAATTTACTCACCCTCGGTTCATTCAGGGTGGCCTTTTTTTTCTTCTGAATATTAAATAATTTGTTTAAAGTTTAAAGTGCTCTTTAGTGATTTCTAAAATGTAAGTAAATATACATTTATAGGCAACACAAAACTAATACACATGGCTTTTGAGGACTTATAATGCAGTAATGTTGAAAATAATGTTCCATTTCTTTCACAGACTGATAATTTTGCTTTGTAAGACCTTATTGTGTAAGCCACATGTATTAATTTTGTTATGCCTGGATTATTTTTGTATTTTTGTTTTGTTTTTTGACTCTCAAAGTTCCACTATCTATTGAATTGCATTTTATAAAATGGCCCATATATTTATCTAAAAAGTCTCTACTGAAGAAAAAACGGTCTTGAATGACCTTAAGGTGAGTAAATTACCATTATAAAATGTATTTGTTTGGAGTGAACTATGTCTTTAAACTCTAATTATCCAACCTTGATATTTTTGCTAGCAAAATTCACAAAATTTGTAATTAAAAAAACACTGATGGGTTATCTGTAATAATAAATTCAAGTGAACTTGCTAATTTGACTAGGGTCAGTATTATAAGCAATATCTGTGTGCACTGTGTTTATATAAAAGTAAATATAATTAATTTGCATAGAGAAAAACGTGTTCTTTCTGCGGTTTAATCTGAATTTGAAACTACATGCACTTTTTTTGGAGTACTGTCAGTGTATAAATATTTATGTGCACTAAATCATTCGAGTTTAAAAAATAAATACATAATGTGAGTGATGTATCTATTATATTTTTGATACACAAAATCTGTGTGAATTCTTATACAATGTTATATTTTTTTCTGACAGACTGTTGTTTAGTGCCTTTAAAATGTGTCAGTCATAGCCAGTATTATAGAAACACTCCACTTTATTATTATTTTTTGCAACTTTTAGATCATTTTACAACTCTCCTAGGGTTTAAACTGTTGAGTTTTACCTATTTTTAATACATTCAGCCAACCTCTGGGTATTCAGTGGGAGCACTTTTAGCTTAGCTTAGCATAAATAATTGAATTTGATTAGAACATTAGCATCTCACTCAAAAAAATTACTAATTATTTTGATCATTTTCATATATAAAGCTTGACACTTCTTTGGTTTCATCATGTACTAAGACAAACAGAAAAGCAAAAGTTGATATTTTGTAGGCTGATATTTTTAGAAACCATACTTTTATTCTGGCATAATAATCAAAAAACTTTGCTGTCATAACATGGCTGCTGCAGGTAAAATGATATTACCTAGTGTCTGAAATAGTTCATAGCAACATTCAATTTTCCATCAGTCTCAGCACACTATTTAACTACAGAGGAGTCAAGCTTTAAATAAGGAAGTTATCAAAACACTTTGGTCATTTTTGAGCGAGATGCTGGGCTGATCTGATTCAATGTTCTATGGTAAGCGAAAGACCCAGAAATCGGCTGAATGGATTCAAAAGTTGTAACACTCAATTGGTAAACTCTAGGGAAGTTGTAAAATGAGCATATTTTTCAATAACAAAGTGGAGTGTTCATTTAATTAGACTAAATTTGACTTAATTTCTGTATTATTGCAGGCATAATAAAGCTGATGCTTACAACAATTTCTATTTAATTTTCTTTTGAAAGACAGTCATGTAGCTCAGAGAAAGTGTTCATTCGCTGTCCAACATGTTAGCATCTAGTATCATATATTTTCTTCTTTCTCTTTATTATGAACAGCTTTTCCAGCCTTTATACAGAGTGTTTGTGTGAGAATAAGAGATAATTATTATAATCCAGAAGATTCTCTTTAAATCATCATAGGACATGTGTCACTTATTATCCTCGTCTTGTTGTTTTGTGGTTCCAAGAATCTAGATGTAGCCTCAGTGAATTTGATGAATTCTTTTAGATGTACAGCACTTGGTAGCAAAATCTATTTGCATTATACTGGGAAAACAGCTTTCTAGAAAGCATCTTAAATGAAGGATCATCTTCACTGTGATAAATACAGCAGCTAGTGTTGCTTGTATGTATAATACAGGAAAAGCATTCAAAAGCAGTAAAATTCTACTGCTTGTGATGGTCAACACAAGTTGTGTGCAAAGTGAAACACTGTGTAATTTGTGTGAAAGCCGTACTGAAATAAAGCACTTCTAGAAAAAATGCCTGGTTCCTTGCTTTTATAAAATTCAACAGTTTTAATATTTAAATCAAATTAAATTCTCAATTTTTATTAATGTTTTTTTTTTTTTATTAAAATGTGCAAAAAACAATACTAAAAATAAATCCAGAGAAAAAAGCTATTTTAAATTGTGACTGACTCTACTTCTTACAACCATGGCAATGTGTTTTAGTGATGGGTCATTCTTGAATGATTTGTTCATTTTGAACTCATCTTTTTGTCATCTTCTTGTATGACTCAAGAACGATGATTCCTCTCAGCAAGTGATTCGTTCATATGTGTACATGCACATTTCTACACGTGGAATTCCTTTTTCTAGTCTTCTAACATGACTGAGGAAAAACTGTAACAGAATTGTTTATTCGGTAAATAAAATAACTACAATAACTTGATTTTTAATCTACAGAAATAGCCACTAAACTACATGCTGAACGCTGTGAGTTTGCGTCAGGACGATGATACATGAACCAACTTTTTGAGCAATGTTGTTAGGCTATATTATAGGGTGTGATGCTGCTTGGCAACTTTCATAAAATTGGCAATAAACATTTTACATAAAAATTGGAAATTTATCAGGGGTTGCCACAGCAGAAAGAATGTACAATTGTTTCAGCATATGTTTTACACAGCGGAAACCCTTCCAGCTGCAATCCAGTACTGGGAAACACCAATACACACTCATGTTCACACACACACACACACACACACACTTACACAGTACTGCCAATTTAGTTTTCTATTACTCACCTATACTGCATATCTTTGGACTGTAGTTGAAACGAGTACATTTTACTTTTTTACTTTTGTACATTGTTGAGGCTGTACTTCTTTACTTTTACTTAAGTACAAAAGTTAAGTCAGTACTTATACTTTTACGAGAGTAATTTTAAACATAACTATCTGTACTTCTACTTAAGGAAAGGATGTGTGTACTTTTGCCATCTCTGCTTGTCTGTAGTGTGATCAACGTTTTTTAGATGAGTTTGAAAGCAACTCGTAACATTTTAATAATATTTTGGCTAATTGAACAAAATAAATACAATGATTTAAAAAAAGATTTCGTCACCTTGGAATTATAAGGTTCTATCTGCGTTCTGAATGATTTTGGGATATGGAGCTTCAAAGTTTTTGCATTTCATTTAGCAAACAGTATGTGTGTAACATTTGCTGCTTTTAAGTAAAAAGTCTTAATGTAAACAACTTATTAAAATAAATAAATAAGTATAATAAGTACAATAAGTAAATAAGTTGTCATTTAATATGAATATGTCATTAACTCAAATTTGACAAATGTCAGATAGAACCCTTTATTTCTAAGGTAACGATTTGTTCATCTCAATGAACGAGACTCAAAGGTTCAATTCAGTAAAATGATCTGAACTTCCCATCACTAAGACCTTTAAGCTCATCCATTGATGTAATTTCTTTAAATTCTCTAGGATGAAATGAAGGCCACAACTCCCATGATTCTACAGTCAGTCACAATTTCATCAAGTTACACCTTTTTTTGTTGTGAATACATGCCCTCTAGTGGCAAAAATGACAAAAGTGCATTTGTTTTGGATTTCAGAATTAACCTCCACAGAAAAGTATTTTAAAATGATGAATTAATGTTTAAAATTATCTACTGTGCGCTGTGAGGTCGTTAACTGATAGGACAGGCTACTAAAGGTGTCATAAATTACACAATTTGAACAATCAATGTATCAAAACTTTTTTTTAAGATGCCACTACACTGTCCAAACTCTAGTTAATGCTGCCATTTATAGTTAGTAGAGAATTTATCATGACACTGGTTTTAAAATAGCAGACAGCTTGTAGCTGATAGAATCAACTGCTCTTGCTATACCTTCGAATTATTTATTATATTATACAACATGGATGACATTGGTGCTGATCAGCTCAAGTGAAAAGCTGTGCTGCTTCCTCCGAGATGTTGCATGTACGTGTTAATCAAGAACATGTTGTTGGAATGACATTTATAACTGGCATGAGGAGATGTGGTGGCCAAATATTCAGATGACGCCAAATATTCAGATAACAGACTACTACAGTTCTAGTTTACAAGCTGATTTGCTTAATTTCATTTTGGAGTTAGTTTAGAAGGCAAAAGGAAGGACCAAACATAGGGTGTACATAATCAATGAGCTAAATAAAGAATTAAACAAGGCAGAGTTAAACATAATAATCAATGAGCAACCACATTATTAAACAATGGAACAAAGGGAAGAGGAATACAAGGAGAAATGTTGGATTAGCATCAAAAGTAACATCAGGTTAGCTGAAATCTGGAAACAAATGATGTTAAACATTCTTCAAACCCTGCTTTAGTAAACTAAATTGTTTGATGTTCAATCTACTTAAAATTGTAAATACTTAAGCTAACTTAATTTCTTCATATCGTCTCAACACAAATCGATTGTGTACAGCATTTTTTTTTACAGTGTGTGAGGTTTTGTTTTTAAAAGGTACACTTTGATTCCTTAAAGGATCACATTTCTACCTGTAAGGTACATATTAATAAGGTTGGATTTACGAAAACTGGTGCTATTATGGCACTGGTACCTGTAATCGATATGCACTGAACTGAAACAGCATATGAATTTCGGTGCCTAATTTTGTTGCCACTGGAGCTGCGACAGTGACATAAAAGCATCAAGGGGTACATCAAAGGCACACATAGGTATGCATTGTGTCACACCATCATTAAACATATAATTCTAAACAAGTTTTGGGGATACAAACACTGTTGTCACCATCGTTTGATCAGTAAGATACAGCGCATCCAGTAATCCAGTGAGCGACTTTCTTCATCAACATGCATGATCACATTCATCAAATAAGCATTCTATAGTATGGCTATGTTTTACAAGCAAGGATTCTGACACAGCAACTGGTGCAGCAGATGCTTTACAAAAGTTGCGTTTAAGGAGGAAACATGGTAATCCTAATAAAATATTTGAGGGCGCATGGAATAAACTTAGGATTGGTCTTTGACAGCTTGTGATATCATCTGGCACTTTTAGTGAGCACGATTACAAGGACACCAATTCTGCAATTTTTAAAATGATAAAGAAAATACTCTAATTAAGATTCTACCATGTAAACAGTGATTTATGTATTTATTTATTTTTTCTTCTTCTTTTGATTGCCTTAAAAGACCACAGACACCTGCATTGCAAAATGTTACGTTTGTTTTCTTTCGATTCAAATGGTATCAAATCCCATTAAAACAACACTTTTCCACCAGTCCTTACTTCATATTCTCATCCAATAGCCCAGTTTGCCATAGGGGCATGAACAATATGTTCCTGAATTAAAGTGAAACTGCAGTTAAAGTTGAACAATTAGAAATGAAACACCCAAAATTACATGAAACTCAGAAGGAAACTTTGGATAGTGTGGAGATGCAATGACGTTAATAAATCTATGTGCTATAACATGTAAAACGAGATCGTGAAAGGAACATTCTAAAAGCTCTTGAAAACACCTTAATAATATTATTGTCATATTCGGATTAAGACAAATCATTAGATTATGATGTCCATGTAAGCCCCAACCCTAGAAAAAAGGAGTTCCCTGATTTGATGACAGCCTTTCCACAGGTTAGTTGTAAGCTAATGTATCTTGCATTCATGCTAACTAACAAATAATCAAAAGAAATATATTAAAGCAATTTAATTCAAATATGAATTGGTATGTACTGTAAACTTGAATTATATTGTTCAATTAAAATGATTCAATTTATTTATTTATTTTTTTGTCAAATGTTTTTCTGGCTCAAAAGTATCGGTTTAGGCACAGTTTTGGTACCATTTTAAAAGTATCAATTTAGCACCAGTATCAAAATAACCCCAAACAATACCCAACCCTATATATTCCTAAAAAGTAAAAAAGTTCAATTCAATTCATGTTTTTTTATATGGCACTTTTACAGTCAAAAGCAGCTTAGTAGTTCTAGTAGATTGAAACTGTCAGTCCAGTTAAAATTCAGTTCAGTTCAGAGTGGTTTAATTTTCACTGCTGAAAGTCCAAACACTGAAGAGCAAATCCATCGATGCGCAGCTCCACAAACTCCAAACCAAGCAAGTCAGTGGCAACAGTAGGGAGGAACAAACTTCACTAAATGACGTACCACCCCAGTGACAGATGTTGTACTTTTATTTCTGAAAGTGTATATCAAAGATTTTTAGCATCTAAATGGTATCACTGACCACACAGAAGCGACAAGTGGATAAATCCCTTGTGTTAAAATGCATGAAAATGGTAGATGATGCAAAGAGAGGGGTACTGTAGATAGTTGCCTGTTAGAGTTGTATGTGCTTCAACATTGATCGTTAGTAAATTTGCACTGAGAGCTTGTCAGGCTTAATTCAGTGATCGTCTATAGAGATGTTTAAAAAGGCTTTGTCAGTGACAGTGACATCTTTATCACTGAGATTAACAGATCAAGTCTCTAAAGTGCTTGAAAAACAGACAACAAACCACATCCTCACACGCTGATATGCTTACTCAAGGCCTCTGATAGCTTGCTCTATTAAAGTGTTATGTAACTTGCCAGTGCATGTTTATTTTAAATAATATTTTGTGTATTAATTTATGGAAGGTATGTCAACCTTAGAGAGAAAACAAGTGGAATATTGAAATAAGAAATAAACATCATCAAAGATATGAAATATGAGATACAATTAGCAATTATTTCTTATTAAATTGCATTATGTAATACAGTGACATTTTATAGTCTCCATTATGAAATCATTTATTGGCAATATTGCAAAATGTTGAAGAAAGTCACACAAAAACACTCAGTTCTGTTGAAATTTTGACACATTTAAAGATTTGAAGCAATAGTTCACCCTAAAATTAAAATTCTGTCATTATTTGTTCAAAGCTATTATAGTTTCTTTCATCTGTTGAACACAAAGGAAGATACTTTGAAAAATGCTAGTTGCTGGTGCTCATTGACTTCCGTAATAATTTC